GAAGGCAGGAACATACAACCAAGTTCTCCAAATCCTTCTTTAAACACAAACCAGGGATCACTTCTCTTTACTAGAAACGATTTCCCTTTTTTTGGCTTGAATGAGGATCCACCATGATCCACTCAACTCTCTTAGCCTCCTTCCCAGTCCACAGTCAGTGCTTAACTGACTCTTCTTCAACTGTCAGTTCCCAATTGTCATTCCTTAACTGAGCCTCTTAACAGAATTTCCTTAGAACAGCCTGTCACTCAAAGGTTTTCAGACTCTGTTAGGCATTAATCCTTGACAGTCCATCACAGGCACATTGAAAATCAGTAAAATGCTGAGGAGTGTGTGAGTGGACCTGTATCTAGTTTGAAGGGCTATGCATTTGCTACTTTTAGTATCAGGCAGTTAACATATTAATTTTTGCTTGTTTTAAACCTGTTAAATTGTTTTTTAAAAAATCTTTTGCCGTAATAATCTGATGCATTTTTAGTCACATTATAAACTGCTATAGTTGAAAGACTTCAAGTGGTCAAAAGGTACATCCATAATACATAAATATGTATACTAATTGTTGAACACAGAGGGTTGGCTCCAAAGATTCCTTATGAATAAGGAGCCTTCCAGCAGGGGAACATGTCTCTTTTGCCAGCACAAGAATTATTGGACTGGAGGAATGTTGCATCATTATTGGAACAGAACTTCCAGATCCAATCTATGCTCTTCATTTCTGATATAGGTTAGGCAAAAGGGGATCAATAGTCAAAAAGTTGGATCCAGAACAGCATTTCCACTTGAACTACAGCTCTTGCACATGTGGAAATGCAAGAAAAAGACTGCAGTAGCTGCTTGCACTGTCAGACTTATTGTAGCCCCGCTTGTGTTGCAAGATCTTCTGCAACCAATCCCAGAGTTTCAGGAAATGAACCTAGCAGCTTCTTCATTCTCACAAATGATTCCCTGAAGTACAATATGGGAGAGGAAGATTAGTGCACAAGATTATGTATATGTCATTGTGTATATGAGCAAACTTTTGGAGTGAGTGACTCAGCATGCCTGGACATTGGGGACTGCTACATCACTCTAAGTATGTATAGGTGTTATCTTTTTGAATGGGATGCCTCTTTTTGTCTTAACCTGGGAGCTGTCTTAACCTGACTCTCTCTCTCGCTTTGTCCTCTCTCTCCCCAGATGGTCTTCCATGGAGACACATGTCTCTGCAGCTCCCCCCTGTAGATACAAGGCCCTCATACTCCCACACACCTGATACAGGACCAGAGATGAGACTAAAATGTGAGTGACACTGTCTTCACATAGCTCAGGGAGGACTATGTAGTTGCTGAAAAGCATCCTTTACAACATTTAGAGAAACATCTTTTTCACACACAGTCTTTAATCAGAAAGGACGAAGTATAATTGCACAGTAAGAGGCAACATATATATAGTACTAGGAATAAGGCCTGTTGTGGAAATAAATACAACGAGCTCTAGAAGAGGCTCTGGGCGGGTGCCCTGGCTTTGGGCACTCAGTGTCAATTTGCTGTGGTGACCTCAGCAGGGTATAACGACACAGAGTCCACTGTTTTCTCCAGGGGAACTGATCTCTGCCATCTGAAGAACAGCTGTAATTCTGAGTGATCTCCAGCCCTCGCATGGAGATTGAAATCCAAACAAAACATCTATGACAAAAATAATGAAAAGTCAATAAAGATACATATGCAAAATTGTTTACTATAATAATTCTGTAGAAAACTCTCTTCTTATATCGCTTACATGCAACGGATTTTGTGCAACGTGGCTCGGGAGCTGCGGTGGCTCAATGGTTAAGACACTGAACTGCAGGCTGTGGAAGGTCAGTAGTTCAGCAGTTTGAGACCCGAGTGCCACATGATGGAGTGAGCTCCCATCTCTAGTTCCAGCTCCTGCCAACCTAGCAGTTCGAAAGCAAGAAATTGCAGATAGAGAAATAGGTACCACTTCAGTGGGAAGGTAACAGTGTTCCGTGCGCCTTGGTGTTTATTCATGCTGGCCACATGACCACGGAAACGTCTTCGAATAGCTCTGGCTCTTCGGCTTTGAAACGGAGATGAGCACCACAACCCTAGAGTCAGATTCGACTGGCTTTCGAGCAAGGGAACCTTTACCTTTACCTGTGATTGCAAGGAGATCAATTTCTTAGATGTCAGTGTTAAAAGGGTGGGAAATAGAATACAGACCAGCACATACAGAAAATCTACGGATGCAAATTCCTTTGTCTAATGACAACTTCCACCCATCACACCTGAAAAAGAATCTACCTTATTCCCAGCTGTTGAGGCTTAGGAGAAACTGTAGCCAGTACTCTGACATAAGGATTAGGAAACAACCGGGCATGTTCCCAGACAATTCAGAGTTTAAAGAAAAATGGTATGCCATTATGAACAAGTGCTCCTACGATTTGATGGCTCTTTTAATTGAAACAGCCAAGACTGAGAGTTTTAAATTGGAGCAAGGACTGGAAATTTTGAGAATGGATATTAATAAAACTCCCCTCCCCAAACCCAAAGGAACGCAAGTACTCTTGAGTGGCGGTTGATGGGCCAATGGCTGAGGGAGCACACTGCACAGGCAATGGGAGAGCTGGAAATGGCCAATACATAAGGGAATCATTATTAAAGATACTGTGGTCAGCTGTTATTGTGTGTCAGTTGGAAACATTCACCATGTGGTGATATTGGTAAACAAGGCACACTCAGAAAGCATTCCTGTGTTGAGAAACTGTTTCCAAGTTTTCTGAGAACAATATAGATTAAATCTTTTAGGAGATAATTTCTTCTAGGTGACCTAATGTTGTTCAAGCCTTAAACATCCGTCAGAACGAATGAAAACTTCTGAATTTCAACCCAGTTTCTAAACTTCAACAAATGAAAACTTCTGAACTGTAACTCAAGCTTCTGAACTTGAACCCAAGTTTCTGAACTTCAGCCTAGGAGAACAGATTTCAGAAATCACCAATAATAAGTAACGAAGACATTTTAAAAGTTGGTGTGATGCCCCTTCTCCAATCACACAGAGGGCCTACCACCCTCAGCAACCTCCCTCCCTCCCTCTCTCTCTCAGGTTCAGGGTTATCATAGGTCAGGATGTCACAAGCTACCCTTCTTGTCTGTTTTAAAAATATACAGAGAGTCATGACCATCTCACACCTCAGGTCCTGTCTCTCAATCCCAGAGACATTCACAGAGAGGGCAGCTCAGCCTCCTTAAAAAAAGATCCAGATAGGCCTGCTGAGGCTTCCCTCCCCCCTCACTTTTCTTAGCAGCTTTCCCAAAGCTGCTCCAGGCGGACCCACCAAGGCCTCCCCCACTTGCTTTCACCATCTTCCCCTGCTTTCAGCGACTTGCCTGGTGCAGCTCCAGGCAGCCCAGGCCTCGTGGCAGCTCCCAGGATCTGCTGCCACCACAGCAGAAGCCTCTGCTGCAGGTAAGTGTGTAGTCTGCACATATGCAGACAATGCTTTTAAGGGGGGGTATTTTAACCCTCCAATGTCTTTTTTGAAACTCTTCAGAGGTTAACCTAGGAGGTTAACTAAGTTTGCAGAAAAGGCTATTTGGGGTAAGTGTGCCCCCGATCAGCAGATTTAGAAATCCACAGATGGAGGCACCATTTGGAATTAGATAAATAGATGAGACTAACTGATTTGATTAGCTTAAAAGGGCCTGGCTAAGTTTTTTGCTACAAAACATGCAGCATTATAGAGCTTTTCTCCCTTTCTCACATTACAAGAACTCGTAGGCACTCAATGAAAGTGCCGAGCAGTCGGGTTAGAATGGATAAAAGGAAGTACTTCTTCACCCAAAGAGTGATTAACACATGGAATTCACTGTCACAGGACGTAGTAGTGGCTACAAGCATGGATGGCTTCAAGAGGGAATTGGATAAACATATGGAGCAGAAGTCCATCAGTGGCTATTAGCCACAAGGTATAGATAGGAACTCTTAGTCTAGGGCAAGTGATGCTCGGTATTCTTGGTGCTTGGGGGGCAACAGTGGGAGTGCTTCTAGTATCCTGGCCCCACTGGTGGACCTCCTTATGGCACCTGGTATTTTTGGCCACTGTGTGACAGAGTGTTGGACTGGATGGGCCATTGGCCTGATCCAATATTGGCTTCTCTTATGTTCTTATGTTTTCTTTTTAAAAGCAACTTGAATAAACTCTGAATAACTCTGAATAAGCTGAATAACTCTTGATAAAGGGTAGACAGAAAAGCAGTTTGAAACCAGTTTGCCATCTGAATTTAGAGAGTAATAGAAAGAGTATGACTTGAGAATTATGAGTTGCCTCCGGATGAAGCCTACTGGGGGGACTCTTATAAACTGGATTCAGGGTTAGCAGCTTTGCTATCTTTTGTTAGCATGGCAATAGGCTCAATTCACATAAATGAATGTGCGTATTATAAAGACACCCTAGGTATTCAGCACTCTCTCATCCAAAAGAAGTCAAAGTATGTACTGTTGGCCTGCAACTTCTATCTGCTAGAGGAAATGGGGAAGATGAGACTCTGTTACTGAGATAGAAAATATTAACAATCTCAGAAAATACTAACATATCAGCATCTATGTATTCTCTCTACTTTGCGAGACACAATTTTTTTAAAAAAGGATGTGATATACAAAAGATTTGGAAGCTGGATCAAATATTAATTTTAATTACAAAATATTTGATCTAATTTACTACATTTGAGATTTATTACTGTAATGTGACACATCATGTTTATCATGCAGCCACTATGCATAAAACCTCAGGACACTGGAGATCCATAGCCTGGGCTGGTGTTGCAGTGACAGTCAACCAGTATAGTAGGACAGAATGAATACTGGCTCAATTTAAATGAGATTCTAGATGGATACAAGGTCACATGGGTTTTTCTTATCCACCACCAACATCACACTAAAATTTGCCCTCAATATGAATTCATTCTGAATACAAAGATGTTGGGTAACATAATACATATGTACTACTTTTTGTAACTTACAGTGCCCATTGCCAAAATATAGTCTCTTCTCATCAGTGCCGTGATTTGATTTACTATGCCCACAGAACCTACAAGAAATAATAGCTTTTAAAAAAATCAGAAATGCATACACTGTTGACTTACAAAAAAGAGAATGAAACATTTCCTTTAAATAACTAAATACCTGGTATGAATTTTAATACCATTTATTCTCTGTACCTTACAGAGTCGAGATAGTTCTGAGGGAATTTGGCTAATGACAAAATATGTTGATTTTTGACCACACCAGTTAGGTTTTACAGTTGCCTTAGAATGTGTTTATAGCTGTTTTAAACAAGTTCCGTAGGACTGGTGCTACTTTTGTTAGCAGCCTCATTAACGTATGTAACTGTGCCTACGTCCTACTCAGCAGATGAGGGCCTAAATGGACTAACCATTTTATTTATTTATATAAAATATTTATTTCCCATTTTATCTCTTCAGACCAGGTGGCTAACAATGTAGCAACCAGGTCATGATAATACACTGTAATAGCCTGATTAACAAGCTTAAAACGCACAAATAACAAAGCATCCAAGATTAAAACACTGAAAACTGGAAAACACAAAGAATGAACACAGTCAAATTTGCTAAAGAAATTCAGTCTCCACCGAATGCTCTCTGGAACAAGACTATCTTATATGCTTTCCTAAACACAACATAGGGTTGCTATGTGCCTGTGGGAGTGGTAAATCTCCCACCCCGCAGCAGGCCTTGCCTACCAGCACTCCAGTAGCCAGAGAGGGAAAGAATTTTCTTAAATCACTGTCAGCAACAACACCTCTCTAGGAATAACTAGAAACTCTATGGTAAAATCATAGAGTTTTCAGAAGTTCCTACAGAGGCTTGATGCCACTTCTGGGGAAAACCTGGAAGTTACATCAGTCCTCTGTAGGAATTATAGAATCATAGAGTTGGAAGGGACCTCCAGGGTCATCTAGTCCAACTCCCTGCACAATGCAGGAATCACTAAAACCACTCTGGTTTTACCATAGAGTTTCTGGTGATCCCTAGACAGGTGTGATGTTACTTCTAGGTTTTCCTGGAAGTGATACTATGCCATTGCTAATGGCCCATATCCCTGCCCCTTCTGGTCTCCCACTGTACTAAGTGAAGGCACTCTCTGCACTGGCTCTGGTAGGCCATTCCAAAGGACTGGACCCAGCATAAGAAAAGCCACGATGTAGTTATAACCATACAGACAATCCCAAGATAGGGAACCTTGAGGGAAGGCTTCAATGAAATGTAACTGGTAAAGAGGTCCATTCTTGTCAGTGACAGTGTCTTAGGAAAAGTGCTAATTTTTGCAATGTAGCAGGAAATAAATGGCTAAAATAGTGATGAACTAACCTCCCAATCAGGATGTAAACCACAATTGTGAGCAGAATAATTGCTATTGCAGCTGAAACGGCAATCATCACAACCTGGCTATTCTCACTGGAAATGGAAAAAGCTAGAAGTCAAAGGAAATAAAAATGAGTTTAAATATATATATATTTATATAACCACAGACAAATGTAGTCAGCAGACAAATTAAATCATTATATCACTTTCTTCTCAACTTGGGGGCAACCATACTCAATTTCTCAGTCAGGAAACTGTTCACTCTTTACTAACTGATTATATAGATCTGTTTACAATTCTGTAGTATTTAGTGGAAATAAAATATATCACAATGATCATCATTAGTTTTTACTGATGACTTAAAATCAAACTGGGAATGTTTAGCTACAGAAATCTAGCATAATGGATGAAACAGTTCAACAGTCCATTAATTTCTTTAGTAAAGTACATGGTTCAGAAAATGGGAGTCTTAAATCAGCTTTGTTTGTTTCAATTCAACTTCTAACACAAATGAAAAACCTACAATGAACATTTGACTTCTCTCTCACAATCAACACTGAAATCAATGGAAATTAAAAGTGCTTCATCTTAGTTGGATTGTGTCCAAAGCAATCAACTACACAAGGATCTAGGCATTAAAATTCTCAAAGTTATTGTAACACAAGAATATCCATATTCAACATATAATTGCCAAAGTGATCAATGAAAATTTGCTCCAAAATAAAATTAGTATAATAAATAACATAAAATCTAATTAGTATAATAAATAATCTAATATGCAGAGCTCTTCAACACCATTATATTATTCTTCCACAACAGGCATATATGTTGACACAACACACACAAAAATATTTCTTTCCCATACATTCCCATAAATTAGCCTCTAAATGATTTTTAATACTCTATGTGCATCATATAATTTATTTCAAGAGCTAAAGGTTACTGTAATAGCCATTTGTTAACTAAAGTAAAGAGGTCAGCTATTTTCCAGAAAGAGCTGGAATTTTTAAAAGCTCACAAATCTCAAAAATTCAAACATGTCAAGTGTAAGATTATTTGGCTTGCTACTAAATTTCTCTGTTTGTTTTTGTGAGACATTATATTCTTCAAACAGAACATTTCTTAAACTTCAGACGCTTGGGCTCTGGGACAAGTAAAAGTTATCACTATAATATCTGTGTTATGCTATAAGCTTGGAATTCCCCCTTCCCTCTCCAAAATGCATACATCTGACAAATTAATCAGGACTAACTACTGGATCATTTTATTATTGCTAAATGTCATTACAGTTGAGACAGACAGATTGAAAGTTAATCTGTCAAATATTTTCAATAATTCTGTTGAGGGAAGCAAGTCTCAAAACTAATAATCCAATCTGGAATGTTACAAGATACGTACTTTAAATTGAAAAACTGAACATTCCATTATCCAAATTTTAAAGTCTCTGACTAGTTTTTTTAAATAACATTGTTAATTTCTACTACAAACAAAATTAGTCTAGATATTCTGGGTCTGATGAATATGGAAAGTTTCTGTACAATGACCATTTAGGCTCATGCAAAGGGCTTAAAAACAGGCTTGATGGAGCAGACCAAAGTCCAGCATCTTGTTTCAATAGTAGCCAGGCAGATCCTTCTGGGAAGCTCACAAGAAGGACATAAAAACAACTGTCCTGCCTCATTATTTGACTGGCAGCTACTGGTATTCAGGGTTTGTGGTAAACCACTGGATTTTTTTTTTTTACTTTTTCCCCTTTGAACAGCAGATTCCTTGATGCTATGTCACAAAGTACTTTAGAGACTCTCCTCCAGTTACAGGAACAGTTTGTCATGTGACATGGGGGGAGGAAGCCTTAAGTTTAAGAAAAGCACATCCTAACCGTCTTATGGTCAAAGAATTACCTTGATCTTTTTTTTGTACTACTAGGCAAATCCCACCCCCACTCCTATTTGTAGAATATGAGTGTATTAGACTAGTTATTTAATTTAAAATACAATAATTTGCGACTGTGGGAGCATGGACTTTTCCCAGAGGGATATCAATTTGAGGACAAAACGTGATAGTGTGAATATTAACACCACCTGTGACATTACCAGGAGAGGATTACATAACTCACCCAGGACAACTATGCCATTTTATAAACTTCTGGAAGAGTTTCTGCTTTTAAGAAAAAAGTTCTCATTGTACCGTTGAAATAGGGGAGAACTCTAGTTCTTTATTTTTTTTAAAGATAGCAAATATATCCCTTGCTCTTGCTCATTTGAATTCTTCCCCCGATTTTGAGATCCGAAAGACCTGATTTTGTTTCTGAAGTGGAACAGATCCATTAGGCATTCTCCATTGTTTCCTTTTTTATTTCTGAATCTGTACAGAACATTCAGTACGAATATGGAAATAAAAGGGCAAAAATCTGCTGGTTGCTGGAGATTTTCACTCCTTCTATTTGTGTCCATTTGTGTCCTCACTACTCTTTTATATATAAGGAGAGATGTGAATGTGCCAACACCACACTGTGAATGAATCAAGATTTTCTGGGTGTGGGGTTTAGACGGTCCACATATGCATATATGTGCATTGATAAAACACCATAGCCTCATTCTTGATGGGCCTGTTTTACATAAGTTCTTGCCAATTATTAAAACCACATAAAAAGCATCTTACTAGATTCACACATACAATGTGTTATATACAATAACACAAACATAATGTGTAACAAGCACAGGATTGCATCCAGAATATATTTTTTGTAGTGCTTTATCAATGTAACTAGGAATAAATACAACGAGGTCTAGAAAGAGGTTCTGGGAGAGTGCCCTGGCCTTGGGCACTCAGCGCCAGTTTGCTGTGGTGACCGCAGCAGGGTATAATGACACAGAGTCCACTATTTTCTCCAGGGGAAAATCTCTGCCATCTGAAGAGCAGTTGTAATTCTGCGAGATCTCCATCCCTCCCCTGGAGACTGGCAACAATTCTTCCCCAATTGGGAATGGCTGGTTTGGAGGGTGGAGTCTATGGCATTGTACCTGTCTGAGGTCCCACCCCTCCTCAAACCTCACCCTCTTTAGGCTCCACCCCTCAAATCTCCAGGAATTTCCCAACCTGGAGTTGGCAACCTGATCTCCCTCCCAGCGAACCATCAACCTACCGTTATCTGCCCCCTGGCTTCAGCTTTCCATCTCCTTCTGCTCCCTCCTAGGAAGCAGTTGTAATTCTGAGTGATCTCCAGCCCCCACCTGGAGATTGGCAACAATGGTTCCCCATGAGGGAATGGCTGGATTGGAGGGTGGAGTCTATGGCATTGTACCTATCTGAGGTCCCACCCCTCCTCAAACCTCACCCTCTCCAGGCTCCATCCCTCAAATCTCCAGGAATTTCCCACCTGGAGTTGGCAACCCTATCAGGAATGGCCCCAATGAGTTTTCTCCCAGAGGCCAAAATACGTGTGGAAAGGGCCTTTTACTGACATAACCTGATTGCCTAGCAACAGGCACTGAGGAGAAAGCACAGTTGCCACCTCTGATTAGGGAAATACCTGGAGATTTGGGGGGTGGATCCTATGGAGGGCAGCATTGGGGGGGATAGAAGGACTCAGCAGGGTATAATGCCATAGGGCCTACCCTCCAAAGCAGCCATTTTCTCTAGGGGAACTGATCCCTGTCATCTG